GACACATTGACTGGTTGGCTCCCACACCACCCCGGACCAGGGCCGGGGATGAACTGCAACTGAGGCTGGAATTGAACCCGTGACTCATTGGTCCATGGGTTGACGCTCTACCACCAAGCCAAACCAGCCAGGACAGATGTTGAATTTTGTCAAGTGCCTTTTCTGTGTCTATTGAGATGAGCATGTGATTATTTTCCTTCATTGTGTTAATGTGGAGTTTTACATTCATTTTCATGTGTTGAATCATCCTTGCAAATCCAGCAATAAACCCCACTTAGTGTATAATCTTTTTTATGTGCTGTGGAATTCAGTTTGGCATTATTTTGTTAAAATATTCTTACATCAATATTCATAAGGGATATTGGGCTGTAGTTTCATTGCAGTGTCTTTGTCTGGCTTTGGTATCAGGCTAACAATGCCTCATAGAATGAATTTGGAAGAATTTGAGGATAGTTGGTGTTAATTTGTCTTTAAATGTTTGGTAGAATTCACCAGTAAAGCCATCTGATACCGGGCTTTCTTTGTTGGGAGGTTTCTCATTACTGCTTTGACTTCCTTACTAGTTATAGGTCTGTTCACATGTCCTGTTTCTTCATCATTCAGTTTTGGTAGGTTGTGAATGTTTAGGAATTTATCCATTTCATCTAGGTTCTCCAATTTTGCTGGTATTCCTAGTATTCTCTTAAGACCCTTTGTATTTCTCATATATCAGTTGTAACGCCCCACTTTTATTTCTGATATTAGTTATTTGAGCCTTCTCTTTTTTCTTAATTTAGGTACAGGTTTGTCAATTTTGTTGATTTTTTCAAACTCTGCTCTAATCTTTATTACTTCCTATCTTCAACTAACTTTGGGTTTAGTTCTTTCCAGTTACATTACTTGCAAAGTTGTTGATTTAAGATCTTTCTTAATGTAGGCATTTACAGCTATAAATTTCTCTCCTTAGGACTTTTTTTCACTGTATTCCATACATTTTGGTATGTTGTGTTTTCATTATAAATTCCCTTGATTAATTCCCACATATTTGTAGATAATAGTTTTTGTTCTGCTGTTGATTTCTATTTCATTATACTGTGAATAGGGAAGATACTTTGTATAATTTCAATCTTTTTAAATTTACTAAGATTTGTTTAGTGGCCTAATATGATTGGGGAATGTTCTGAATATGTCTTTTAGGGCTGGGTGGTTTATAGCGTTCAGTTATTGATCCCTTAATCTTCTGATTGTTGTATCCATTATTGAAAGTTGGCTATTGAAATCTCCTACTGTTATCACAGGGATATTTCTCCTACCAGTTCTGTTGATGTTTGCTTTATATACTCAGCTCTGATATCTGTGCATATATATTTACAATTGTTACAGTACCTTAGTGAATTAACCATTTTATCATTATATAATGTCCTCTGACTTAGTCTGTTTTGTTTGATACTTTTAGAGCCATACCTGTTCTCTTTTGGTTACTATTTGTACAGATTATCTTTCTGCATTCATTTATTTTCAATATATGTATATCTTTAAATTGAAAGTACAGCTGTTGTGGACAGCATATAGTTGGTCCTGTTTTTTAATCCATTTATATTTCAAGTTATTACTAGTAGGAAAGAACTTCCTGCTTTCATTTTTTTTGTGTAAATGTTTTGTCTCTTTTAAATGTCTTGATTTCTTAAGATTCTTGGCCCTGCTTCTTCTCAGGGCCTTAAATGCTGTATTTTATTCCTCTGCCCATAACCTTTTGCCCCTAGGCACCTGTGGTTCTCTGCAGAGCCCCTGCAGCCCTGTGTGCAGCAGCCCCCAACCTGATATTCAGACTATGCCACCGTCCCTCAGGCAGCCCCGATACAAGCCAGAACATCACAACCAAGTTCTGCTCTTTTCTTTCCACACCAAGGGAGGAGCTGGGAATTGAGATGATTCTTTCACTGTGCCCAGGAGGGTGCAGTGAAAGGGTTAGCATAAATGCAATGAAATATCCTAGTATTTTGAATGTGGTTCTTGCTGCTTAATTGGCTTCTAGAGTTCTCACAATGCTACATTAGTGTGTATATTGTATATTCAGTGTTTCCACGGGTGTTCCTTGGGAAGCAAGGGCCCAGAGCTTCCAACTCTGCCATCTTGCAGACATTACTCGCAATTATCTTTTAAAGAAACATTTACGATTTTACCACATTACTATTTCTGTTACTCTTTTTTTCTTTATGGGTATGTGGATTCAGATTTCCTTCTGGTATCATTTTCCTTTCGCATGAAAGACTAACTTTTTTTTTCAAATATAGCAGGTCTTTGAAATGACATTTCATTCACTGTTGATTCATTATAATGTTAATGACTTGCCCTAGGAACTTAACTCTTGTTTATATCAATTAGCTTATGAGATTGGTTCCATCATATATTTTGCTTAATGTCTGAAACTATCTATGATGTTAAGTAAGGACTTATTGTGTAACATCTTCCAGTACTTAGTAACTTCTGACTTGTCTTAAAGTTCACTGATCTTTTTCCAAATTGCTTCAGATTTCATCCAGTTAAGTCTTACCAAGATCACAAACTCAGTCTCCCTGTTGTGGGCAGTGGCTGAATTCTCAAACTCAGTGACTTATGCTGTAGCTTTTCCAGGGGTTCCTAGGACTCTCACCCTGCACATGGTATTGAGGTGTCTGCCAAGAATTTGAGGGGGATATATATGCATATTTTGAGGACTTCCTTCTTTCCAGGATTTCCCATCTGGAAGTTTCTACCACCTTGGAAGCCCTGCTGTCTCATTCACTCCTCAGCCCAATAAGACTATTACTTCTGGCTTGAGGTCTCATCCCTTCTGAACCCATGGAACTGGAAAGTGCTCTCAACCAGTACGCTTCCATTTTTTTCAAGGATCATATCACCTCCACTTTCTGCTTACTACTGATTACTCACCCAAGTCTTCAAATGATTTTAAAATTGTGTCCAGAGTTTATATCTGCTACTGCCTGGAGAGTTGGTCCAATACAAGCTACTTTGCTATTACTGGAATTAGAATAGAGTTGTTATTTCAAGAAGTTTTTTTAAAATGTGAGAGACTTGATCATTAGTTTTCTTTGCATTACCAAATTACTGTAACTTTGATATAATTTTTTTCTATTAGAAGAGTGTAAAAAGTATATATGGATTTTTTTCCCTTTTTGTAGGATATTGCAAATGAAGAACACAAAAAAATTGAAGCATTAAAATCAGAAAACAAGAAGCTAGAAAAACAAAAAGGAGAATTAATGATAGGGTTCAAAAAACAATTAAAATTGATTGATATTTTAAAAAGGCAGAAGGTGAGTCTACCCTACTAAAGTATTTATTTGTATATGTACTTTAGGTATGTTTCTTTTGACATGCTTAGGCACAAAATTTTGTCTATGTAAGATTTATATATAATGTGTCATCCAAGAAAGTGGATATTTTTGTGAAAATAGTAATGTGGAAAATGGTAAACACAGTATGAGTATTCCCTAACTAAAGAACATAGCATGTACAAGAGTAACTATTATCTTAGGGGACTGGTTTACCCGTTGAAATCTTGAAGAGTGACAACTGATTCAAACCACTATTGTTCCATTCTCTACTTGAGTTACATGGTAGTGAGAAGACACAAAGTCATGGTTTTGCCTCTTTTCCTTTTTGCAAAGGTTTGATATTAAAACATTATTGAATTGTCTCTCAACAGTTGGTTGGTACAGTACTACCACTGGACAAATAGGCTGACCCTTGAATGTTATTCCAATAAACAAGATCTTGAAATAGTACCGATTCCTACAACAGAGCTTGTAATCTGATAGCATATTATACATACACTTTTATAAATTTCCTGTTGTTGTGTGGTTTATTCTTAATACTAAATTTGACAATATATATATATTTTTTAAAACACAGATGCATATTGAAGCTGCCAAGATGCTGTCTTTCACTGAAGAGGAATTTATGAAGGCACTTGACTGGGGAAATTCTTAAGTAGGCTACTTTAGTTAGTTTCTGTAACTTATAACCAACAGTATGTGATGGATATACATTTTATTTAATTTAAAAAGTTATAATGGTTTGAATTATTTTTTACTCTTAGTAAATAATGAAGATATTTGATAATGAAATCAAAGTAATTCCAAAGAATTGTAATTGATATGCACTTATTAGGAAATGTTTTATAAAATAAAATAGGAATTTGACTTTTGATTCTGCTTTCTTATGACCTAATAGCCCTTTTCAGCTGTACTTAAATAGGAAATATTTGATCTCTAGTTTATAAATGAGTTTATCTGAGAGAAATTCTTTTTGACAAATTCCTCACCCTTTATTTTTCTCCTCCCTTATAGTAGACAGAAAAAGATACTTTTTCAAAAGTCTTTTAAAACTATTTACATTAAACATTAATTTTTAGGTTTGACATTGGGTTAGTGTGCTAAGGCGGCCATAAGTATCACAGACTTGGTGGCTTTTAATTGTTTTTTGACTGCCTCCTGCATGCCCCACACTGAGGATCGGGCCCAAGACCTCTTGGTGCGTGAGTTGATGCTCAACCACTGTGCCACATTGGCCGGACAGACTTAGTTTCTGTTTAAAAGCCACCGTCTCACAGTTCTGAGAGCCGTCTCCTTGGCTTTTAGAATCAGAAAAAGATGCTTTAAACCCAAATTAATTCTAAATACTTATAAACACAGAGAACTACAGCCTGAATAGGAAGGCTGAAAAAGTTGCTCTCCTGGATTTGGCCTACAATATATTTATATACATGGAATGTTGTAATATGGTAGTGTTATAGAACTCAGATCTTCAAATTCCAATACAAAAGCAACACCTTGACTAAAAGCAATTAATTTTGCAGTTAGAGGTATTCAGTAATTTTATCATAAAATAAATGTTTTCTTATAGAGAACGATTTACAAATGATGACTAGAGATGTTTTAGAAAACCCAAATAGACTAGATTCCTACCATCAATAAACTGTGAAACAAAAGTTACACTGACATCTAGTGGTAACATACAAAAGAAGCCAGGTTTTACCAAATCTTCATATCACTTTTCTTCATGAATTTCACTCCTTTTCTGATATGCTTTCCTAAACTCTTCACCAAGCATATCAATATCATCCTCTGTTTTGAATACTCCCTAGAAAAAAAATGTGGGTTACTTTGAATGCCAGAATGTTTCCCTAAATGCTTGTTAAACTATTTTCTGAAAATGATGACTTGATTTACATATTGAATATTATTCTTAGACTGATCTGACTTCCTGATTTATCAGTTCCACTGTGGGAACTTGTAGTAGTAAAGTAGAAGATTCCTATGACAAGTACTACTACTTGGATTGGCTGAATGGGCAGGAATTTAATCTGTAGTGTATGCTACCCTTGTTTTGAAACAACTGTACAATATGACTATGAGAGGTCAGGGTGAAGAGTTTGAGCCTTGCCAGATCCATGCATGAAGTTGGCTCTTGCTTCAATTCTATGGCTAAACAGCAAACATTCAGTCTTGCAGGAACAAATCCAGGTTTGGAGTTAAACCCCTTAAGCAAGCCCTTTGAAATTCTCTACTCTTTAATTTTCCCTTATAATAAGAGGCTCTTTAAAACAAAATTGAACTTACATTTTTATTTATAATTAAAGGAGCTAAAGAATAATTTAGATCATTTGGGGCCATTAGGAATTTACCAATTCCATATGGCTTTTGTATTCATTAATCCTGTCTAAACAATTAGACTATAAAATCCTGTGGGCAGGCAATAATTACTCATGTTTCTCTTTCTCCTTCCTTAATTTGCACTGGACTAAACATAAAATATGCACTTGCTTCTTCCAATTGACTAAAATATCAAATGGCATATAAGTTCTATATTTGAAGAATAGAAATATTATTTACATAGCCCAGATGTTTATGTGGCCTGTGAAACTCGGTTTATTTTATAGTCACAATGTATCTCAGATGTACATGAAAATTTGCTATCTTCTGGAAGTACTTTATTTAAAAAAATTTTTTTTTCTTTATTGATTTTAGAGAGAGAAGAAGGGAGAGAGAGAGAAGAAACATTGATGAGAGAGAACATCAATTGGTAGCCTCCTGCATATCTCCCACTGGGGATCTGGCCCACAACCTGGGCATGTGCCCTGACTGGGACTCGAACCAGTGACCTCTTGGTTCATGGGGTCGACACTCAACCACGGAACCACATTGGCCAGGCTGGAAGTACTTTTAAAAACCAAGGTTACCTAATACCTAGTTATAACACAACCTCCTGTTACAGAGCAGATTTGTCACAGACTCTGTTCAAGCATGTATCTGTTACTGGTGTTACTGATTACAAGATTTTCCTGTATATCATCAGCTTTGGTGTCCAAAATATCACAATTATAGTAGTTTAGTTTTAGAACACCTACACTAAAAGATGAGAAAATAACTTTGAACCTTAAATCCAATTGATTTAGCTCATACTTCTAAAAATGTGCCAACACTAATTTTCATTTTGGAGATGTTCAGTGACTGGCCAAGATCCCACTGCTGCTTGGTAACAGGAAGAAGTGAGCTAAACCCCAGACTTCTGTAATCCTAATACCATGGTTTTTCCCCACCAGTAGATGTCATGAAGATTACACTTTGAGTCAAATCTCACTTACTTTAGGGAGATATCCTAGTAATTTTGTAGCATGTTCTTTGAGAAGTTTTAGTCTTTCTTCTTCAATAATCGCATTAACACATCCTTGTCTTCTTTGTTGCAACTGCCATTCTTCCAGTTCACGTTGCTGGAAATGTAAATAAAGTTTTATTATTGTCACACAATACATTAACCTTAAGAAGTTGTCAAAATTACTCTTTCAGTGAATTAGAGAAAATGGATGAACTATTTATTGATACTAACTTCAAAAGATACTAGGTGATATGTAAGGTGGGGTGAAAGTAGGTTTACAGTTGTTTGTATGGAAAATACAAGAACTGTGTTTCATGTACTTACAACTGTAAACTTACTTTGTCCCACCCTACAGTTATGACTGGGACTTTAGGAAGCAAGTACATATTTTCAGGACAATATCTTCATTACCAAGGAAAAAAATGTTCAAAGAAGTGATGACCTAATTAATTCAACAACTATTTACTGAATGCTTACCATTATGGCAGGTGCTGAAGGCAGGTACAGTGTAAGACCAAAAAAAGTGGATAAAACAGAACAGGGGCATCTAAAAAAACTATTTCCATCAAATTTTAAGAAGCCTGTATGAAACACAGAAGTAGCAGCAAGAGTTCTACAAGGAGAATGAGTATTTCTCAGGAAAGAGTTCTGTGCCATGTGGTATAGAAGAGATGACTGACCAGAAAGTTTTAGGGCTTAAAAGAACTCTTAAGGAAATGTATCCAAAAAATCCTCTTGGACAGGGAAGGATGCTAAAAGGCAGCATTGAAATAGTGATGAATTTCTGCCAAGAATTATTTTAGTAAAAGTAGCATTAATAATGCAAAGCTTTTCTTTGAAATAACTAGTTTACTAGGGTCACTATTTCTTCAGACCACTCCTTGTCAATCATGGAAACCAGAAAGGAAAAAAATGTATATATCATATATGATTAATAGCTAACATCATCTGTCACATACAGTGTTCTGAGTTAACTGTTTAGTGGATGAATACATGGGCTGATTGCTGTTAAAAAACAACAACAAACCCCAAAACACTTTCTTACTTTGTCTGCAAGGAGCTGGTTGCGACGCTCTTCAATGAGTTTTTCCACAGCCCGCCGGTGTTCTAGTTGCTTCATTCTTTGTTTCTGAGCATTCATTAATTCTATTCTATCATCCTCAGCAAGTTTAGCTAACATTGCTTTTCTGAAGATCTCCTCTTCCTCTTTTGCAGCCTGTAGTACTAGTTCCTTCAAGGCCATTTGTTCTATGAAATTTTGCTTCAACTCCTTTTGCTTTCTCAATTTCTCTTCTGCTTCTTCCTAAAAAGCAATTTATATATAGAAGTTAATTCAGTAACTGTTTCTTTAAAGCAGATTTATAAAGAAAGGATGGAAGAGTTTGGTTAAGCTTAGTGTTACAATATGAAATATAACTGAAAAATTAAATCTCTTCAAGATAACACTTTGAACCCTATTCTTTTAAAACTAGTTGGATAAAGGACATATTCCTTTTGAATTGCCTTTTAAATTTTGAATTGTTTTTAAATTTTAACTTGTATATATTTACCATTTTGTTTCTGGACTCAAAATTAACACACAACTTTTTTGAAAAGAGCTGATATGAAAACTATTTTTGCTCACCTAAGTTGATTAAATCTGTGTTCTGTGAAATTTGTACCAACTATGAATCATTCTAGAATCTTGCATGAAACTGTTAAAATCATTGATAAATACTTTTCAGAACAATCTAGCAATAACAATCAGAAGTTTTTCAGGGAAATTCAAATTTACTTGGAATAGTTCAAGACCTTTTCTACAAACTTTAATTTTCCCAGCATTTTATTATAAAAAATTTCAAACATAACAAAAAAATACAAATTATACTGATCACCCACATATCTAACACCTGAATTCTACCAATTATATTTTACTCTTTTTGCTTTATCCTCTATTCAGTTAGGACTGATGTAAATTTTAAGTCCTTCTCTAACCAACCTTGCCCAATGCTTGCACAAGCTCTAGTCCAGTATCCTCAAGGCATTCAAAACACTGCCTTAACAACAGCTGTATGGGCAGGGCTCTTTCTTATAGATAACACAAACTATAAGGGATTTACTAAAGGCCATCAGGTGGCATATAGGACTTCCAGGAGGTCCAGGGAACTTGCTTTTGAGCAGTGTCTGCATGGTATACCTTTCTCCATCCTTTTACTTTTAAACTATATATGTCTTTATATAGTATTTAAAGTATATAGTATTTAAAAGTATATATGTCTTTATATATGTATTTAAATTGTGTTTCTTATAGACAACATAGGTGCATCATGCTTCTGAAGCAGTTTGTGAACTGTTGCCTGGGTCTAGCTTTTTTATCTAGTCTGAAAATTTCTCTCTTAATTGTAATGTTTATACCATTTACATATATGGTAATTATCAGTACTGTTGGGTTTAAATCTTTCTACTGCTTCATTTCAAAATGATATTATTCTCTATGTTAATCATTCTTTCAAGTTCCAAAACTTACTTCTAGTTTCCTCTTATATATTTCAGCTTGTTCTTCCTGGTATAATTCTTGTCGCAGTTGCTCCAAATCTTCACGCTGCTGCAGCATTTCTTCCAATTTCTGAGTCAGCTATTAAGTTAAAAACAAAAAACAACACTCAGACATTTATAGTAACCAAATCCTATAACAAACATTTCAGAATTTCTCCAATGTTAAAGAAATGGTTACTGTAATACCATATTCCGAAGCTGTAGCCTTTTTTCTTCATTTTCTTGAACTTTTGCCATCCGATCTTCTTCTCTTTGTTGCTGCAAGTTGGCAAACTCTATGATTTTTCTGTTTTCTTCTTCCATTTCCTCACGTTTCTTTTCTCTCCAGAGAGCCTGCTTTTTCTGAAACTCTTCTATATACCTTCGAATTGCATTCTTTTTCTCTAACTTTTGTTGTCTTTCTCTAAAATGCAATAGTGAGTGCAGTTTTATAGTAATGGAAATAAAATATTGAAAAATGTATAGTCTCTTCATTCATGCAACAAAATATTTTGAGAGTCTGTTATGTGCCACTAAATAGATGACAGGTATGTGTTTTTTCTGAGTAAAAGACTACTGTGCCTCTCCTCTAACCTATTAATGAGGTTTTATGCATCACATTTTAGAAGGGCTACAACCTGTTAACATCTGCTTCACAGCACTCTGCACTTTAGCTGTCAACCGAGGAAATTCATCAGAAGACAAGTCCTCGGACATACAATATGGACATATTTAAGAAAAAGGTTTAGTCATTGTCAATTAATAAGCACTTATTAATTAGCAGATAATTATCATACTAAGAGACAAAAGTTGGTTTCAGTTTATAATAATGATAACATTAATGAGGACTTACTGTGTATTGAGCACTGTTTACGTACTTTACCTCTTCAAAACAAGCCTGAGATTAATGTAAATATTTAAGCATGTAACAAAGTTGGGATTAACTTACAATTGCTCTTCTTCATAGATTTTCCTGACAATTTCATCAATCATGAGTTTCTCTTTCAGCAACTGCTCATAAGCTTCCTGCTTTTTTTTTTCTTGTTCTTCAAGTTGTTTCTCTAAGTCAAGATAGTACTGTGCTTTTACTTTATTTCGTCTCTCTTCTGCCGCAATCTCTTCCTTTATTACTCTCTCATGTTCTTCCATCATGGTTTTGGCTATTTCAGCATCACGTTTCTGTTATTAAAACAAAATCCATCTTTCCATTTTCAAATCTGAGCAGAGTGTGATAGAATATTTTAAATAGATATAACTGCATATTACTATATAGCTTGTTACATAAAATATTTTCATCTGTGTAGGTAAAAAGCAAAGGTAAGTCAGTCACCTGAAGGGTTCGAATGATGAGTCAAACCGTAACGAGGCTTTCCTGTTCTGTCCAGAGCTCTCTCGGGGCAACACGCATTCTATTTAATGATGGCAATTTTTAGTTCTAATTTGTATGTGGACAAAAAAAAGGGGTTCTATGAAAAGTAACCTCACAGGGTGATCTGATCATAGATTTCTAACTGGGCAGGTCATAGTAGGCACTAAGGCCCCAGGCATATAACTTTTTATTAAAAGGTTTATCTTTGCCTTAAGTAAGCCCTGTCCATTATTTCTATGCATCTAGGTTAACACACCTTTGAAATAAAGCAGTAACCACCCTCAATTGAGCACATAATCTCGTTAACTGCCCTGTAATCCAGTCCCCGCTTTGCTTTCTCCCACCTCTATGTACTCTTCCTTATGTTCACTTCTTAATTTCAAATGCATACAAGAAGCTACAAAACTTCTCTGGAGCATTTGAGATCTTGCTCCCCAGCATGTCATCAGTTTGGTTCAAATAGCACAAAAATTCTCTACAGGTTTGGACATTTCTTACATTGACATGTATCAGCTGCTAGTTAAGTAAGGATGGTGCAGGCATACTTCAGAGATATTGCGGGTTCAGTTCAGATCACCACAATAAAGTGAGCTGTAATTTTTTTTGCTGGTGGAGAGTCTTGCCTTCAATTTGGAAAGAACACACTATCTGTGGAGCATGAGGAAGGGAAGTGTAAAATGAGGTATGCCTGCCTGTATTATCTTTTTCCTACAGGACTGCTGTTAACAGCTCTGAGCAACTCTTACATTTCTCCCAGCCTAAACTTCCTTTCCTGCCACTGGCCTTCTAAGTCTCCCTTTTCACATTTATTAAAGGCCCTCTGTAGTCATTTGAACTTAAAAGGGTCACAAATGCCACTATGTCTGTTTTCTGCAGCTTTTACTTCTCATTCAAGACCATTCCTTCTGAGTTAGAGACAATATTGATTCTTGAATGGGTTAAACCACTTATTTGTTTTGAGCATTTTTAAATCATTTAACAAAATAAGTTTTAAATTAAATATCTATTGGGGCAACTTAAAAAATTGCCCTTTACTATTATGATCACATCCCAAATGGTTAGATCCTAGAATGGTTAGCAGCATTAAACATAAAAGATCAAAATATGAATGCTAAATGCTATTCCTGATCTAACTGATGCCTTTAAGATATACACTATTAATATGACAATCAAAATTCTTCTTCTCTTTTCTTAGCATATGGTGTACTAGGTTCTTTAGAAAAAATATAAAATGACAAAAACATGTATTACAGATTACCATATACTTATATAAAGACAATGTTCTCATTTCACTGATAAGAAAATTAAGGCTTAGAACGACTGAACCAAAACCAGCGTCTAGATACCCTGACACCTAGTCAAGTCCTAGAAGTATCTGACTTTAACTTTTGTGGATCAGTTTTATTTAGAAAATAGCAATTGATTAATGTATCAGAGAAAATGTCTACAATTGCCTTGAATAACCTCAATTATCAAGGTAATTAAAACTGCAAACTGCCCTGGCCGGTTTGGCTCAGCGGTTAGAGCATCGGCCTGCGGTCCGGAGAGACCCAGGTTCAGTTCCCGCTAAGGGCATGTACCTTGGTTGCAGTTTGTCCCCGGCCCTGGTCGGTCGTGCGGGTGGCAGCCACTCGATGTGTCCCTTTCACGTCGATGTTTCTCTCTCTCTCTTCCTCTCTCTCCCTCCTACTCTATCTGTGCAAAAAATGGAAAAATGTCCTCGGGTGAGGATAAAAAAACAAACAAAAAAACCCTGCAAACTACTAGTCAACCAGTATATTGTTTATATTCTACTTTATTTTTGAAAGGGTAGAACTATATGGCTTAGAAACAGTCTCCTCACCCTCTCCTACCCATCACTGTTAATTGTATACTATATAACCTTTGAGATTTTTTCTATACTAACACATGTGTGCACACATACCACTATATTCAACATCTATTTTTCTTTTTTTAATTTTTCTTTTCTTTATTGATTTTAGAAAGAGAGGAAAGGGGAGAGAGACACATCAACGAGAGAACATCAATTGGCTGCTTCCTGCATGCCCCCCACTGGGCATCGAGCCCACAACCTGGGCATGTGCCCGGACCAGGAATTGAACCAGTGACCTCTTAGTGCATGGGTTGATGCTCAACCACTGAGCCACACTAGCTGGGCTATTTTTCTTTTTTATAAATATTATTTTAATCCTCATCCAGGGATATATTTATTGATTTAAGGGAGAGTGAGAGAAAGAAACACTGATGCAGGAAAGAATCATTAATCAGTTGCCTCCCACACGCTCCCCAACCAGAAATCAAACCTTCAATCCAGGTTATGTGCCCTGATGGGGAATCGAACCCACAACCATTTTGGTGTACAAGATGATGCTCTGAGCAACCTGGCCAGGGCCACATCTGTTCTTATTTGATACCTATATTGCACTGTACCAGTTAAATATTTTGATATTTAATTGTATCAATTAAATATTTGTACTACTCTAATTGTATGTGTGTATGAGTGTGTATTGTTATACACAACACATACATATATACACATGTTGATATCCACATACATATATGTACAAGTTTATAAAATAAAAATGGTATGTGATATGTATTATTCTTTAACTAGATTTTTCTACAACTTTCTTTTTTTCCCTTTTAACCTAACATATATTCGGTCCAACTTTAAAAGCCAGAACGTAGCCCAGGCCAGTTTGGCTCAGTGGTTAGAGCGTCAGCCTGCAGTCCAGAGAGACCTGGGTTCGGTTCCTGCTAAGGGCACGTACCTCGGTTGCAGTTTGTCCCCGGCCCTGGTCGGTCGTGCGGGTGGCAGCCACTCGATGTGTCCCTTTCATGTTGATGTTTCTCTCTCTCCCTCCCTCCCACTCTATCTGAACAAAAAATGGAAAAATGTCCTCGGGTGAGGATAAAAAAATTTAAAAAAATAAAAAAAATGAAAAGCCAGAACATATACCTCAACCTCTTTCTCTTTGATAGCCGTATAACATCTTTTGAAAGTGATCTAGGAGAGGGGGAACTTGACCACCAAAATGTTCAACAACATCATAGAGCAATGAGAGAAGGGGAATGTAAAGTCTGTATAATATTGGATCAGGCCTGTCCGTCTATGTCCAGCCTTTCTTTGTGACAGTGAGAGCTCAAGGGATGATATGCATCTGCTTTTTTTTTAATCCTCACCTGAGGACATTTTTCCACTTTTTGTTCAGATAGAGTGGGAGGGAGAGAGAGAAAGAGAGAAACATTGACGTGAAAGGGACAGATCAAGTGGCTGCCACCTGCACGACCAACCAGGACCGGGGATAAACTGCAACCGAGGTACATGCCCTTAGCAGAAACCGAATCTGGGTCTCTCCAGACGGCAGGCTGACGCTCCAACCGCTGAGCCAAACCAGCCAGGGCTGCATCTGCTTTTAAGTGTTAATTCAATAAACCCTATTTTATTATTGGTGAGTATGTCTGAAAATCCTTTTCACAAGAGTAACTCTTGCCCTGAATTTGGCAGTATGTCAGGAGTTAGAAAAGGGGATAAAATGGAGACATGATAAGAGATTGCTGTTTATAAAACAGAAAAGTTTGTCTAAAATTATATTTAATTTTTTAGAACATTTAAAAAAATGAAAAATTGCCCTGGCCGGTTTGGTTCAGCGGTTAGAGCGTCGGCCTGCGGTCCTGAGAGACCCGGGTTCGGTTCCCGCTAAGGGCGCGTGCCTCGGTTGCAGTTTGTCCCCGGCCCTGGTCGGTTGTGCGGGTGGCAGCCACTCGATGTGTCCCTTTCACATCGATGTTTCTCTCTCTCTCTCTGTTCCTCTCTCTCCCTCCCACTCTACCTGAACAAAAAATGGAAAAATGTCCTCGGGTGAGGATAAAAAATAAAATAAAATAAAAAAATAAAAATAAAAAAATGAAAAATTATCCCAGCCAGGTGGTTGGTTCTCAGTTGGTTGGAACATCATCCTGTACACCAGAAGGTTGTAGGTTTGATTACCAGTCAGGGCACATACCTAGGTTGCAGGTTTGATCCCCCATTAGGGTGCATATGGGAGGCAACCACTCATGTTTCTCTCTCTCATCGATATTTCTCTTTCTCTCTCTCTCCCCCCTCCTCTAAAATCAATAAACATATCTCCAGGTGAGGATTTTTAAAAAAGAAAAATTAATAACATTAAAATATATTAATTATACTAACAACTCGTACTTTATTAGTTTGTCAAAGAATAATTGGTTAGAGACCACAAAGAATGCTGGGAGTTTCTGAATATAACCATTCATTCAAAGCAGCAACCTAATCCTTTGTGTTTCTGAAAGGCTGTAATATTAAATTAAACAAGGCTCAATATTAAATAATCCATGATTTCCTATACTTTAGGGATCTGAAATGTATAATGCATTTGAAAAATCTAGCACTATAAATTCTTTATAGTATGCAACAATTTTTTAAAAATTGGTCTACTTTTGTTTTTTTAAATGAACCTAAAAATACAGAAGACATAATGAGCAGAAACATGATTACCATTTGTTCATATTTAATGGCATCCTTTTCAGCAATCTGAGCTGCTCTTTCTTTATTCATGTAAGCTGCTTTTAACTTCTTCTCCAATTCTCTGAGCTCAGCACTGTTAAGAAAAAAAAAAAAGACATTTAAAGTTGAGGACCATTACTATAAAACTAATCTATATCTGAAATTTAAAATAATTTTTTTCTTTTTTTTTTTTTTTTTTATCCTCACCAGAGGATATTTTTCCATTTTTTGTACAGATAGAGTGGGAGGGAGAGAGAGAGAGAAACATCGACGTGAAGGGACACATCGAGTGGCTGCTACCCGCACAACCAACCAGGGCCGGGGACAAACTGCAACCGAAGTACGTGCCCTTAGCGGGAACCGAACCCGGGTCTCTCCGGACTGCAGGCCGACGCTCTAACCGCTGAGCCAAACTGGCCAGGGCAATAATTTTTTTCTAGTCCGGCTGGTGTGGTTAAGTGGACTGAGCATCAACCCATGGGCTGAAGGGTCCTATTTCAATTCCTGGTCAAGGCACAGGCCTGGGTTGCCGGCTCGATTCCCAGTAGGGGGTGTGCAGGAGGCAGCTGATCAAAGACATGTCGATGTTTCTATCTCTCCCTTCCTCTCTCTCTAAAAAAATCAACAAAAACATTTTGAAAAAATACAGAATCTCACCCTGGTTGGTTTGGCTCAGCAGTTAGAGCATCGGCCTACGGACCAGAGAGTCCTGGATTCAGTTCCGCTATGAGCACGTACCTCGGTTGTGGTTTGTCCCCAGCACTGGTTGGGGTCATATGGGTGGCAACCAGTCGATGTGTCTCTCTCACATGGATATTTCTCTCTTCTCGCTCCCTGCCTCTCTCCCTCCTGTTCTATATGAAGATAAATGCAAAAATGTCCTCAGGTGAGGATAAAAAAAACAGAATCTCAACCCACCAAAGCTAGAAAACTAGAAGATGCTGAGGTTTACAGAATAAAGCCTGGTATTTCATTAAAAAACAATAAGTAAATAAAATAATGTTTCTCTAAATATGTAAAACATTATTTAAATATTTTGGGGAAAAAAATACCCCTTTCTCCCTTCATACAAAGAAAAATCAGAATGCATGTGAGATGGGAGACTGTAGTTAATCTGCTGGACAAAACAACCCTCCTACTTTCAATAATCATCACTAAAAATATATATTGTTTTTATCCTCACCTAAGGATATTTTTCTGCCGATTTTTAGATAGAGTGGGAGGGAGGAAGAGAGAGAGAGAGAAAAACATTAATATGAGAAAGACACATCGATTGGTTGCCTCCCACACACGCCCTGACCAGGGCCCAGGATCAAACCTGCAAATGAGGTACATGCCCTTGACTGGGAATCAAACCCGTGACTCTCTGGTCTGCAGGCCAATGCTCTGAATGCTGAATCAAACCAGTCAAGGCACTAAAAATCTTTTTGCCAGTGCTTGACTCAGAGAAGGTTGCTTGCTTTATCAATGTTGGTTACAGTTTCTGTCCAGCTACATATACTTTCAAAATAAAAGAACTATAGTAGAGAGGTTTAAACCTACGCAAGTTATTTAAATTTGGTTCCTTGGTTTTGCTATACATAAAAGGGGGTAGCTGTGGGAATTTAGCTAATTTGTAAAAAGAGCTTAGAAAGGTACCTGTTACACAGTAAATACTCTATAAATGGTAATTATTTTTTTTATAATGATGATAAAGAGGGAGTGACCATGGGAAAGTTTGCTTCACGTCTCTGGACTTGTTTTTCTTATCTGTGAAAAAATGGAAATTGGCCTCAAATAATCTCTAAATTATTTTGAATCCATCATTTTCCTAACCTTGGTGAAAACAAGATGCCATACAAAACTTTTCATTTTAATGTGCCAGTCATCATTCTGAATATAACAGAATATGAGAATTCTGAGCTGTATTATGAGCATAGATGTCACCTAGATACTTATCTTAATTCTTACAGGAACACAGAGGCACCTCACCTAAATACAAACTCAACTTACAAGTACCCCATACCTACAAAGAGCTCATCAGAGGGGTAAGGGGAGAAAGATATTCCTGGTATTATGGTGTGTCCTCTTGCCCTTACTGCTGTGGGTGCAAACGTATATACCACTAGATTGCCTTCTTTCATAAAAATAATATTATAAATGAGGATTAAGTTTCTAGGTTAATCTACATATTTTACGAAGAGGCTGATAAATATAAGGGTTTACAAGGGTTTGTGAACCAATGTACAAACTCAATCACAATTAATAATAATTGCCTGTACAAAAAATGTGTCATTCCAAACAACCAATGTCAAATAAATAACCTTTACTTGAAGGACAAGTACACACATTTCCAATGGATATATACCTAGGAGTGAAATTTCTGAGTCATAGTGTAGACTATATTCAAATTTAGTAGATAATGTCAGTTTTCCAAAGATTTGTACATATTTACACTCTCATTAACAGTGTCTAAGCACTCCCACTGCTACACATACCCAGTAACAATTTTTAGTCGAGTCATTTTTAAAAAGTTTAACCACTCTCATGGGTATCTAATGCATCATTAGGGTTTTAAGTTATGTTTCCCTCCTACTAATGGAGCTGAGACCTTTTCATATGTTGTGAGTAATTTATATACCTTCTGTGAAGTTCTTGTTCAATATTTTTTGTCCATTTATACTGGATTGTCTACTTACTTTTGCATAAAAGTTATTTATATATTATGGATACTGGTCTCTTGTTGGTTATACACGTTGCAAATATCTTCTTACAGTCTGTGGTTACTTTCATAGTGGTTTCTTTGGATGAAGAGATGTATTCTAACTCACCAATTTTTTTCTTCATTGTCAGTGACTTTTGTTCATGTTTTAAGAAATGCTGCTCACCCCCACAGACATAAAGATATTTTCTTATATTAGTCTCTCAAAGTTTTGATGTTTCACCATTCACCTTTAGACTACAGTTCTTTAGGAATGGATGTTTGTGTGTGGAATAAGAGAGAAATCAAGCTCATTTTCTTCACTGTAGACATACAACTGATCTAGTATCATTATCTAAAAATATCTGTTTCTTCTGAATGCTCTGCAGTGTCAGTTTTGTCAAAAATAAGTGTGCATACATGCATGGATCTGTTTCTGGATTTTCTATCCCATCCTTCCTCAACTAGGGTTCACAGAAAATTTAGTATTTGTATTTTTAATTGTCTCAAAGATGGTCTATAGCTGGTATTATTTTACATCCATAGGAGGTAAGTTAATTCATTACATATTATGGCCTAAATTTTCTGGTTGAGAAGAGCTGCTCTATTCTATTTCATTGATCCATATGTTTATCCTGTGCTAAAACACCACCATCTTAATTATTTTAGTTTTAAAAAGGTATTCATATCCTGGAGAAGAAGTCTCCAATATTGGTCTTCTTAATGATTGTCTTAGGAAACTTCAGGTCAAGATGGTGGAACAGGTAAATACCATGCTCCTCTCCTCCCATTACCACATAAAAATTACAGCTAAATTGCCCTGGCCGGTTTGGCTCAGCGGTTAGAGCGTCAGCCTGCGGTCCTGAGAGACCCGGGTTCGGTTTCCGCTAAGTGCGCGTACCTCGGTTGCAGTTTGTCCCTGGCCCTGGTCGGTTCTGTGGGTGGCAGCCACTCGATGTGTCCCTTCACATCGATGTTTCTCTCTCTCTCTCTCTGTGTTCCTCTCTCTCCCTCCCACTCTACCTGAACAAAAAATGGAAAAATGTCCTCGGGTGAGGATAAAAAAAAAAAAAAATTACAGCTAAATTATAGAACAACCATAACTGAGAACCACCAGAAGACTAGGTGAACAGAATTCCTATAACTAAGGACAGAAAGAAGCCATGTCAAGACTGGTAGGAGGGTGGAGACACAGAAAGGGCAGATCCCATACACACAGTGAGGTGATTTAGAATTAGGACAGCATCTCAGCTTCAGAGATTCCTCATGAGGAGCAGGGGGTCCCAACCTGGGACACTAGTGCTGGGAAGAGGAGTCCCCACAACATCTGGCTGTGAAAACCAAGGGGGATTGCATTCAAGTGAGACAGAAGGCTGCTGGAGATGTAGGTACCTGTTTGAAGGGCCTGTGCATGGATTCGCCCCATTCAGGGCTCCAACACAGGCAGCCGCTCAAAAAGCACTAAGGACATACAGGGAGGAACTAAATTGACTAACTTAAGGGTGAAGCTGGAGGGGAATGGGTCAGGGCAGCCCTCTGCAGGGACAGAAGCATTGGCAGGCGCTATTGTTTCTTTGTGGAGTGCTCCTCCTCCCCAGGAGCTGGCACAGACCGGTGCCAGATCTGAGCTCTCCATTAAACGGGTTAGCACCATTTGCTTGAAACCCTGTCTCACCAACTAGCATACCCAACCTGAACCTCTTCCACACGTGAACCTCTTCCACACAAGCAGCCCGCCTCTGCTCATGCTGTGGACTTCCGTAAAGCTCTCAAATGTCCACAAACCTCCCAAAAGCAACAGCTGGTTGCCCTAAACCTCTTGCTAATCAGCCCCAAGCCAGGCACAAGCAGTGACCAGTCTCAGCTTGCATTGTAACTCCCATCAGGTGGCTCAAGCCTGGCATAAATGGGGGGTCAGTCTTGGTTTGGAACATAGCTTCAGTGAAATGGCCACAAGTGGCAACTGGTCTCAGCTCACACCCTGGTGTCCAATATAGGGTCCCAGCTCAGGACCAGTGGCAGCCAGCCTCAGTTCACAGCATAGCCTCTCACAAGCATCTCCAAACACGGCACAAGCAGCAACTAACTACAGATTACTTTGTAGCTCCTAGCAGGTGGCCCCAAGCTGGTCACAAGCAATGGCTGAACTTGACCCCACCAGAGGCAAGGCCACAAAACAAATCTCAGTAAGTTTAAGAATACTGAAATAATATCAAGAATATTCTTCAATCAGGGGATCAAAGCCAGTCATTTTTAAGGACCTAGAAGGTATTTTTCTGGCCTTAGTAACCTTGCCGCGATATGGTTTGCAGTTCTCTCCAGGCTCGCCATCATGGGCATGTGCTTATTCATCCCCAGAACTGCCACTGCGCACATCCACAGATTCACTAACTGGGGCAAGGGGAAAGGGTTGCCTATTACTCATATCAGTGGACTTTGATGGAAAGAGATAGATAGTAAAGATTAACACCAGATCTGGACATGCCTATGTATAAAAGGGTTTGGAGAACAGTTAAGGAAGCCATTTTCCTGATTAATGAAAAATAACTCAGTTATACTCATCTACCCCTGCTAGAAGGTTATGGAGTATTATATATCATGCAGTATATTATGTAATGTGTAATACAAATTTTAAAGTAAAATTTTAAAAAATCTCCAATCACAATGGTATGAAACTAGAAATCAATTACAAGAAAAAAACTGAAAAACTCAAACTCGTAGATGCTGAATAACATGCCACTAAACAATGAATGAATGGGTAAACAAGGAAATCAAGGAATAAATCAAAAGATATCTTGGGACAGATGAAAATAAAAACACAATGTCCCCAAATCTATGAGACACAGTCAAAACAGTTCTAATAGGGAAATGCATAGCAACACAGGCCTGCCTCAAGAAACAAAAAAAATATCAAATAATCTAACATTACACCTAAAGGAAGTAGGAAAAAACAGCAAACAAAACCCAAAGTGAGTAGGAGGAAGGAAATTATAAAGATCAGGGTGGATATAAATAAAATAGAGTCTGAAAAAAATAGAAAATATCAATGAAACCAAGATCTGGTTCTTTGAAAGATTAAAAAAGAAAATCGCCCTAGCCAGATTGGCTCAGTGGTTGAACATTGACCTGAAGACCAGAGAGTCCTGGGTTGGGTTTCCACTAGGGGCACGTACCACACACACACACACACACACACACACACACACACACACAAAAGATAATTAAAAAAAAAAAATTAATAAACCTTTAGTCAGACTCATCCCCCCCCCAAAAAAAGAGGGCCCAAAATAAAATAAAAAATGAAAGAGAAGTGACAACTGACACCACTGAAATACAAAGGATTATAAGAAAAGTACTATGAACAATTATATGCCAACAAATTGGACAAACTGGAAGAAATGGATAAATTCTTAGAAACATGCAATCTTCTAAGACTGAATCAGGAAGAAACAGAAACTTGCATAGACAAATAACTACTAATGAAATAAAATCATTAATCAAAAAACTCCCAAAAACAGCTCTGGCCGGTTTGGCTCAGCGGTTAGAGCGTCGGCCTGCGGTACAGAGAGACCCGGGTTCGGTTCCCGCTAAGGGCGCGTACCTTGGTTGCAGTTTGTCCCCGGCCCTGGTTGGTCGTGCGGGTGGCAACCACTCGATGTGTCCCTTCACATCGATGTTTCTCTCTCTCTCTCTCTTCCTCTCTCTCCCTCCCGCTCTGTCTGAACAAAAAATGCAGAAATGTCCTCGGATGAGGAAAAAAAAAAAAAACAAAAAACCTCCCAAAAACAAAAGTCCTATACCAGATGGCTTCATGGGTGAATTTTAACAAACATTCAAAGAAGAACTAACACCTGTCCTCAAACTATTCCAAAAATTATGAGGAAAGAAGGCTCCCAGACTCATTTTACAAGGCCAGTGTTACCAATTCAAAACCAGACAAAGATACTACCAAAAGATAAAATTTTAGGCCAATATCCCTGATGAACATAGATGCAAAAATTGTCAACAAAATATTATCAAATAGAAATCTCCAATACATTAAAAAGTTCATACACTATGATTAAGTGGGATTTATCTCTGCAATGCAAGGTTGGCTCAATATCTGCACATCATTTAACCTGATACACTAAACAAAATGAAGGATAAAAATCATGATTATATCAATAGATGCAGAAAAGGAATTTGACAAAATCCAACATCCATTATGATTAAAAAATAAAATCTCTTAGCAAAGTAGGGACAGAGGGAACATACTTCAACATAATAAAGGCCATGTATATCAAACCCACAGCCAACATCATAATCAACAGTGAAAATCTAAAAGCTTTTTCTTTAAGATCAGAGACAAGGATCCACTTTTACCACTTTTATTCAACACAGTTTTGGAAGTCCCAGCCACAGAAGTTGCCAAATTTTAAAAATGAAATAAAAAGCATCCAAATTGTTGGAAAGAAGTAAAACTGTTGTTATTTGCAGATGACATGATAGTAAAGAGAATCCTAAAGATTCCACCAAAAAAACTATTAGAACTAATAAATTAATTCAATAAAACAGAACACAAAATTAATATTCAGAAATTAGCTGCATTTTTATACAACAGTAATGAACTACCAGAAAGAGAAATTAGGAAAACAATCCCATTTACAATTGTATCAAAAAGAATAAAATACCTAGGAATAAATTTGTCCAAGGACGTAAAATACCTATTCTTAGGAAACTGTAAGATATTGAAGAAAGAAATTAAAGAAGACACAAATAAATGGAAGGATATACTGTGCTCATGGATAGGAAGAATTACCGTGATTAAAATGTCCATACCACCCAAAGCAATCTACAGATTCAATGCAATCCTTATCAAAATACCAAAGGCATTTTCCACAGAACTAGAATAACCCTAAAATTTATATGAAATTGCAAAAGACACCAAATAGCTAAAGCATATTAAGCAAGAACAACAGAGGTATCACACTACGTGAAATCATACTATACTACAAGACTATAGTAATCAAAATAGCATGGTACTGACATAAAAACAGACATATAAATCAGTGGAACAGAATAGAGAGCTGTGAAATAAACCTACAGCTATGTGGTGAATCAAACTATGACTAGGAGGCAAGAATATACAATTGGGGTAAAGACAGTGTCTTCAATAAACAGTGCTGAAAACTGGACAGATATGTTTAAACCAAAAAAAAAAAAGAAACTGGATCATTTTCTTACACCATATACAAGAATAAACTCAAAATGGATTAAAGACTTACATGTAAAACCCAAACCATAAAATACCTAGAAGAAAACATAGGCAGTAAAGTTTTTTACAGCACTCTTAGCAATATTTTTTTGGATATGTCTCCTTAGGCAAGGGAAACAAAAAACAAACAAATGGGACATCAACTAAAATTTTTTTTACACAGCAAAGAGAACTATCAACAAAATAAAAACACAACCTACTGAATGGGAGAAGATTTTCACCAATGATACATATAATTAGCAGTTAAAATCCAAAATATTTAAGGAACTCATACAACTTACTATAAAAACACACACAAATAATTTGATTAAAAAATAGGTCATTAAGATATGAATGACCATTTCTCCAAAGAGGACAGACAGATGGCCAACAGACTAATATAAAAAGATGCTCAATATCACTAATCATCAGGGAAATGCAAATTAAAACCACAGTAAAATCATCTCATATCTGTGAGAATGGCTGTCATCAATCAATAAATCAACAACTGTTGGCAAGATGTAAAGAAAAGGGAATCCTGTGCACTGTTGGTAGGATTATAAATTGGTGCAGCCACTATGGAAAATAATATGGAGCTTCCTCAAAAAGTTAAAAATAGAACTACCATATGACCCAGCAATTCCACCTTTGGGTATTTATCTGAAGAAATTCAAAACACTAGTTTGAAAAGATATATGCACCCTTGTGTTCATTTTGGTGTTATTTATAATAACTAAGATATGGAAGCAACCTAGATAGATGAATGGATAAAGAATATGTGGTACATATATGCAATGATATATCTATCACTCAGCCACAAATGTGTTGCTCATACAACTCAACAAAAGGAAGACAAACAATCCAATTCAAAATAGCCCAGATGCCCATCAGTAGATAAGTATATAAAAAAGCTGTGGTAGCCCTGGCAGTTTGGCTCAGCGGTTAGAGCGTCGGCATGCGGTCCGGAGAGACCCAGGTTCAGTTCCCGCTAAGGGCACGTACTTCGGTTGCAGTTTGTCCCCGGCCCTGGTTGGTCATGCGGGTGGCAGCCACTCGGTGTGTCCCTTCACATCGATGTTTCTCTCTCTCTCTCCCTTCCTCTCTCTCCCTCCGCTCTATCTGTACAAACAATGGGAAAATATCCTCGGGTGAGGATAACAACAACAAAAAAAAGCTGTGGTACATTTACCCAATGGAATACTATGCAACTGTAAGAAAGATCTCTTACCCTCTGAGAGGACCTGGAGGGACCTGGAGAGTATTATGCTAAGCGAAATAAGCCAAGCAGAGAAAGACAAATATCACACAATCTCACTTATTTGTGGAATATAATGAACAAAATAGCTGATAAACAAAACAGATCCAGAGACATGGAAGTAGGGAACAGACTGACAAACCTCAGAGGGTAGAGGGGTGGAAAGGCAGGAAGAGATAAACCAAAGAACTTATATGCATAACCAATGGACACAGATAATAGTAGAGTGAAGGTGGCGGGGTCGGGGGTAGCTGGGTGGAAAGTGTTATGGTGGAAAAAGGAGAGACATATGTAAAAAATAAATAAATAATAAAAAGAAAAAAAATGTTAGGTCTGAATGAAAAAGAAAGTTCCCATAGTTCCTATCAGAGTCATGTTGTTGACCTCAACTGAACAGCCACTTTCCAGAAATACTGTAGGAAGTGTACATGAGTATAAAATCAAATGAGGTATCACCAAAAGTTTCTCTTAAGAAGAGAATTCCATGAGTCTATATTTTTTTAATAAGAGGTCATTTTTAAAATTATGTCTAGAGGAAGGCACAGAGGGAATTAACATTTTTTTCACCTTAAATATTATCACTTTACTTCTAGGAATACAATTTCTTTTCTCAAATGAATCTATGTAGGATATAAAACAGTAATTATTTCCAGGCAAAATATTACCTAAATGCAATGATATAAAGACATTTCACTCTTATGTACTAAGCATTACATAAAAGTTTAAAGATAAAAACTAAATAAATGAAATTTAAAGAAACCAAGATACCTGTTTTCCTTTACTTGTTGCCTCATCTTTTCATCCTTTAGACTTTCGTGTTTTAGTTTTGCCAGTTCCACAGCCAATTTTTCTTCTTGTTCAAGCTGGAGTTCCCTCAATCTTTTGTTTTCTTCTGCCTGAATAATAATTTAAAAAGAGATACATAACTTTAGATATTTATCTTCCAGAATCAGATTTTTTTCATCAAGGTTGAATTTATTTGTTTATAATAGGAAACTGCAAGTGCCTTCAAAGCAACAATCACTTACTTATGTTTTATTTTAAAATACAAACTATTATTGGCATGGCCAGTTTGGCTCAGCAATTAGAGCTTCGGCCCAGGGACTGAACGGTTGCAGGTTCAATCCCCAGCCACGGTCAGGGTTGTGCAGGAGGCAACCTATTGATGTCTCTCTCTCACATCGATGTTTCTCTCTCTCTCTCCCTCCCTTCCACTCTACCTAAAAATCAATGGAAAATATCCTCTGGTGAGGATTAACAACAAAAAATATATATAAACTATTATTTAAATAAATAATTTTCCACCCTGGGCGGTTGTGCTCAACGGTTAGAGCGTCGGCCTGCGGTCCCGAGAGACCTGGGTTTGGTTCCTGCTAAGGGTGCATACCTCAGTTGCAGTTTGTCCCTGGCCCTGGTTGGTCATGCAGGTGGCAGTCACTTGATGTTTCCCTTTCATGTTGATGTTTCTCTCTCTCTCTCTCTGTTACTCTCTCTCCCTCCCACTCTACCTGAACAAAATAAATAAATAAATAAATAATTTTCCAAATATTTTAGCATGGAAAATTTCAAATATCAATAGTTAATAAAAATATTAAAATACACCCTCAGGTGGCCAGAATTCTTCTTCGATGATTATCAATATATATATATTTTAAACTTATCTTTATTGTTGACTGTATTAAGATGTTCCTCATTTTTCCCCCATTGACCCCCTCCTCCCCACTCCCGCCCCCCTCCTGCCTTTTCACTGTTGTCTCTGTCCATTGTTTATGCATATAAGTTCTTTGGTTTATTTCTTCCCACCTCCCCACCCCCCTTCCCTTTGATGTTTGTCAGTCTAGCAACCAATGTGTAGTTCTTAATCCCTTCACATTTTTCACCCATTCCCCCAATCCCCCTCCGATCTGGCAACCAACAAAATGTTCTCTGTATCTATGAGATTGTTTCTGTCTGCGTGTTCATTTTGTTGATAGATTCAATTGTCAATAGATATGTATTTATTGCCATTTTATTGCTCATATTTTTTATCTTCTTTTTCTTCAAGAAGACTTTCCAACATTTCATATAATACTGGTTTGGTGAACTCCTTTAGCTTTTTCTCGTCTGGGAAACTTTTTTTTTTTTTTTTTTATCCTCACCCGAGGATATTTTTCCATTTTTTTGTACAGATAGAGTGGGAGGGAGAGAGAGGAAGGGAGAGAGAGACAGAAACATCGATGTGAAGGGACACATCGAGTGGCTGCCACCCGCACGACCAACCAGGGCCGGGGACAAACTGCAACCGAAGTACATGCCCTTAGCGGGAACCGAACCCGGGTCTCTCCGGACCGCAGGCCGACACTCTAACCGCTGAGCCAAACCGGCCAGGGCTGGGAAACTCTTGATATGTCCATCGATTCAAAATGATAGCTTTGCAGGATAGAGTATGCTTGGTTGTAGGTTCTTGCTTTTCATCACTTTGAATATATCTTGCCACTCCCTTCTGGTCCGCAAAGTTTCTTTTGAAAAATCGGCTGATGGTCTTATGGGAGCTCCCTTGTAGGTAACTGCTTTTCTCTTGCTGCTTTTAAGATTCTCTCTTTGTCTTGAACCTTTTGCATTTTGATAATGATGTGTCTTGGTGTGGGCTCTTGGGGTTCATCTTGTTTGGGACTCTCTGTGCTTCCTGGACTTGTATGTCTGTTTCCTTCACCAAGTTAGGGAAGTTTTCTGCCATTATTGTTTCAAATAGGTTTTCAATTTCTTGTCCTCTCTCTTCTCCTCTGGCACCCCCATGATGCAAATGTTAGTATGCTTGAAGTTGTCGCAGAGGCTCCTTACACTATCCTCATTTTTTTTTTAATTCTTTTTTCTTTTTGCTGTTCTGATTGGGTGTGTTTTGCTTCCTTATATTCCAAATCAATGGTTTGCTTCTTGGCTTTACCTACTCTACTACTGACTCTCTGTAGATTATTCTTTATTTCAGTTAGTGCATCCTTCATTTCTGACTGGTCCTTTTTTATGCTCTTGAGGCCCCACCAAGTTCACTTAAGATCTCACTAAATTCATTGAGCATCCTTATAAGCAGTGTTTTTAACTCTGCATCTGCTAGATTGCTTATCTCCATTTTGTTTAGTTCTTTTCCTAGAGTTTTGTTCTGTTCTTTCATTTGGGACATGTTTCTTTGTCTCCTCATTTTGGCTGCCTCCCTGTGTTTGTTTCTATGTAGTAGGTAGAGTTGCTATGTCTCCTGGGCTTCGTAGGGTGGCCTATTGTAGTAGGTGTCCTTAGGGTCCAGTGGCACAGCCTCCCTGGTCTCCCAGCAGGGCCCTCAAGGTGCACCCCTCATGTGGACTTTACACCCTTCTGTTATAATTAAATCTTGATTGCTGTTGGCACATCAAGAGGGTTTTCCTTAGGCTGATCAGCTGTAAGAACTGGCTATGCCCACTATCCACCGACCTCTGACTACCTTGGATGATCAGTTGTGCACGGGCCCACCACACAGAGCAAGACTTACTTCAGCAAGGCTCTGGTACCCACTGAGTCCATTCCTTGAGTGTGTCACTTGTAGAGGTAGTTGGATGGTGGTGCTTCCATGTGGTCTGAGCTGTCCACTGGGTGTGCTGGTCTGGGACAAGGTCAGCCACTGCCTGTGTTCTACCCTGGGCCACCAAGCATAAGCTACAAAGCAGTCTGAAGATGGCTGCTTCTTGTGCTGGGCTTGGAGGTGCCCAGGAAAAGCCAAGTTGTGAACCCAGGCTGGCTGCTCCTAGTGCCAAGGCTGGGGCCACTTAACAAGAGGTATGGGGCTTCCTGAGACCAGATGCTGCTTGTTTGAGAGAATTTAGGAAAATCAGAAGCAGTATCCAAGACTGGCCATTCTTATGGTAAAGCAACTGGGAACAGCTTGGGTAAGCCTGAAAGTTGGGTGGGGCGGGGCCTCAGGGAATCACCAGGGCGGGGCAAATAGTATGAGCCAGGTTGCTGGAGTCCCAGATATGGTGGCTATCTGCCAGTCTTGTGGGGGAAGGGCTCACCAAAGGAACATCAGCCTCCGTCAACATATCTGCCCAAGAGAAAACTGCCTCTCCAGCCCTTGCCCAATGCCATACAATTCAGTTCTTCCCTGTATGTCTCTGGTGCCTTTCCAGCTGCCTCCCCAACGCTGGAACTCAGAGGGAGCAGGTCTGAGTAAGTCCCATGTGCGGGCTCTTTAAGAGGAGCTGCCTGAGGCTCCAACAGCCTCAGCCTCCCTCAGCCTCAGTTCCTGGTGGTTTTATAGTCAGAAGTTATGGGGACTTTTCTTCCTGTCACTGAAAATCTGAGTTGGTGACCTGGTGTGGGATGGGGACCCCTCACTCCTCAGGGAGGACCTTCATAGCCAAGGTGTCCTCCTGATTTTTATCCGCCACACGTGGGTGTAAGACCAGCCCGTCCGTGCGTCCACCCCTCCTACCAGTCTCCATGTGGCTTCTTCTTTAATTTCGTAGTTGTAGGACTTCCATTGAGCTTGATTTCAGGTGGTTTTGAACGATGGTTATTCTGTAGTTGCAATTTTGATGTGTTTGTGGGAGGAGGCATTTATCTATGCTGCCATCTTGACTGGAAGTTGATTATCAATATTTTGCTAACCTTTTTTTGTCTGCTCTAGTCTTCCACTCCACTCTTACTTTTTCCTTTTTTTTTTTCCCTAGAATATTTTAATACAAATCCTAGATATGCCATTACCATGTATATAATTGGGTACTGATCTTTACCTAATAAGAATTTCTTCCTATATAACAACTATGCCATTAACATGTCTAAATAAATTAACAATAATTCCTTAGTAAGATCTAATACCTTGTCCATATTCAGGTTTCCCAGATTGTCTCAAAGATACTTTTTTGGTTTGTTCAAATAAAAATCCAAACAAGGTCCATATATTGCATCTTATTATTTCTTGTTAGTTTGTTTTATTCTGCAGCAGTCACCCCCATATACACACTTTTTCACTCTGAGCCATTGACCTATTGTAGAAATTAGGACCTATCTCCCATATAATGTTCCATATTTTGAATTTGACCTATTGTGTTCCAAGGATATTATTTAACTTGTTTCCCTTTTGTATTTCCTGTAAAATGGTAGAAAAATCTAGAGGCTTGATTAAACTCTGTATTTAGAGAAGAATAAGCACGTGTTCAGCATCATTAGCCACCAGGAAATGCAAGTGAAAACTACAATGATGTATCACTACATACCTATTAGAATGGCTAAAATAAAAAAGAGAGGCAAAACCAAATGCTGTAAGAAACTCCATTACACACACATTGTTGGGCAGGAATGTAATATACAGCCACTCTGAAAAACAGTTTGGTAGTTTGTTATAAAGCTAATATGCAATTACCACAATAAAAACTTCAATTAACAAAAAGCAACAGCAAAGCAACTAGAATTCTCACACATTACTTGGGAAAATGTAAAATAGTGCAACTTTGTACAATGTTTTGGCAGTTTCATAAAATTAAATATGTACCTACCATTCCATCCCAGGTTTCTATTCAAGAGATCAGAAAATTTATGTTCACACAAATGTTTGTCACCAAATGTTTATAGTAGCTTTATACATAATTGCCAAAAACTGGAAATAACTCAGATTTCCTTCAACTTGTGAATGGATAAACTATGGTATATCCACATAATGGAATACTACCATACCATTCATCAATTAAAAGGAATAACTCACCCTGGCTGGTGTGGTTGAGTTGGTTAGAGGATCATCCCATACACCAAAAGGTGGCAGGTTTGATTCTTGGTCAGGGCACATACCCAGGTTGTGGGTGTGATACCTGGTTGGGGCACGTGCAAGAGGCAACTGATCGATGTTTCTCACACTGATGTTTCTCTCTCTCTCTTTCCACATCCCCTTCCTCTC